GTTTATGCCTGTATAGACTGGAGTTGGCTTGATAGTGGAGCATTGAAAAAATAACAGCACAGTCTCCAATAATAGCACATTCTCCAAAAATAGCACAGTCTCTGATAGTGGCGCAGGTAGAACTGTCAGTGAAATAATAAGAACCCCGGTGTCCTATTAGAGAAAATAAAGTAAGTAAAGAGAACGGACGAACAAGTAATAGTTACTAGTTATGACGAACAGTCACCAAGGTAACGGAATATTATACACCACCAAGTGTCGCCTGGCACTCTGCCCTCTGAGTGACACGACAGAGAGTCGAATGCAGACGAATCACCGTTGCTCCACTTACAATGTCTGGAGGAGTGGTGTGCTCCGGAAAAACTTCAGTGGAATGGACTCCACAGCACCGGATATACGACTGCACGGTTCCAATGAACAAAAAAAGACATGAACAGAGGAACACGTCAAGCAATGACATTCGCAACGACGGGCCGCCACCTCCGGCAACGATCGAGGCTCAGCAGAACTAGAAGCAGTGAAAGCCATTTGCAAGCAATGACCTTACTGGAAATGAGCCATGCGGCATGCTTTTGCACATGACGTTTCTAAACGGAGAGCGCGCATGCAACTGCATTCATTCGCAGCATAGCATCACAAAAATGTAGAACTGCGGCACTGACAACAATAAACTGGGTGAATGACCTTGAGCTTACACAGAACAACAAGGCCAAGCAAAGCTGGTTGGTCGCTACAGTCAACTTCGCTAATACCGACTGCGGATATAGCGACAATTCGCGAATAACGACAGAATGTCCATGCCCAGAGCAAAGTCCATTATAACTGTATACATATAATGAGACTTCGGGTATAACGACACTTCGTGAATATGGGCACTTTTCTAATGCCCCGCCGAGTGTCGTTATCCGCAAAGTTGACTGTACAGTGAGTATCGTTTATAAAGTGACCGGGTGTAACGATATACCGGCTATAATGATCGAACTCGCCAAAATCAAAATCAAATCACAAAAAATACAGCTAAAATATCACTATACACACTATTATCGGCTATACCGATATATCGCTTATTGTGATGGGCTTCAGGAAGCAAACCATATCAAATGCACAGGAAAATATCGTATATACTGATCAAGAGTGATGATCACAAAACAATTGTTCTTCAAATTTAGTTTATTTCTTCCAAAACTGATCCAGTGTTGCCTGGATGCATCTGGCAGCAGACGTGATTGAGAGAAAATTCTTCCCTGTATGCTGTAAGCAGCCACATGTACACGTGGCTGCTTTTCATGCTTTTTCCAGCATGTACGCATCATTTCATGCACAGTCATGTGCCATGTGTCAGTCATACATGCAAATCGGATATAGTGATGCACCGGATATAGTGATAAATTATCGAAAATCAAAGGGGCACGTTATATCCACTATTTACTGTACTCAGATGATTGCGTAAGCATGAAACTGTTGTGTCCTGATCCCCATGCACACAAGCATCCAGCTAGCACAAGTAGATTGGGGAAAAAGCCATGAACAAGGGCATGCGCAGTGTGATCATGCTAGATCATGCTAGTGCTACAGAAGTAGGTATATTACTACTATGTACAGTACACACGAGTACCTATCTAACAAGAGCACAGTTGAACATCGATTATCCGCACATCGACTATCCGACCATTCGATTATCCGTAACAGTTTTTTTGGGCGCACGTGCCGTAGAGTACGCACTGTGCATGTAGTGAGCCATTCAAAAAATACGAAAATTTTGAAAAGTAAAAAGTAAAAAGGTCGTGCGGCTAGTAATAACCACTGAAAGTGTGTGAGTGACAGTTTTTTCTTATCTGGAACATTTGCCTTATCTGAACACCGCCTGACAGTTGTCTGCCCAGAGGTGGTCGGATAATCGATGTTCAACTGTACATATATAACAGAAACGCAGACGGTAGTGATAAAGTAGCCATGCTTGCCCTTGTTGCTCCGTATACCACTCTCTGCCTCCGCTGTGTTCAGCACTGTCAGCACACTGGCTGCATCCTCCGCTGAACTGCAACTTACAAAACTCTCAACAGGCTTGCCGTTTGAAGCAGGCCAGGAGGCAGCGCAACCTGGTCGTATCCGGTTAGCGTCCTGGAAGAGTTTGCAGCAAGCAAACAAAGCAAACAGCAGGCAAACAAAGGTACACATATATCCACTCCAGCTCTGCGAAATAAATACACTTAACAGCGAAAAATATACTTTCTACCAAAATATTGCAACTCCTACATACCACCGATGCGGCGGAGACTTTCTAACTTCGGCCTCAAGGAGAACTAGTGCGCCCCGGACGATACTAATCGCAGCATTTTGCGTCATAGCTTTGGGACTAAAGTGGCGTGGAGCCTGGATACGACCAGGCATTGCTATGCATAGTTTTCAGCATATCATTGTGCTGCTGGGATTGCAGCTAGACCATAGCTCAGTGGTTAGAGCATCGCTGGCCTCAAGTGAAGGTCGCTGGCCCCAAGCGAAGGTCCCTGGTTTGAGTCCTGGTGGTGACAGTCAATTTCTTCTTCAGACTTTGTCCGTTTGCATATTTCCCTTAAACCAGTGAATATATTATTATTATTACCGTATTGTTCCGGCGTATAAGCCGCACTTTGAGCACTCAAAATTCACCCAAAAAAAGGGGGTACGGCTTATATTCCGATGATCAAATAAACGGTGGTAAATAGGGTAGGATGTCTGTATTTCGTGGCAAAAATGGGGGGGGGGTGTGGCTTATGCTCCGGAGAATACGGTATATTTCACACAGCTCTGCCAGATGAGTACACGTGGCCCATGCAACATGGGAATCCACGAATGCAAACCAGCATATGTTCCCCCAGCAATACCAGCAAGCAAAGAGAAATGAGGGCCCAGGCAACGAAAAACAAAGCGAAGAGAGATGAGGACATAGGCAACGAAAACAGTTCCAAAGCATAGCCAGGGGTTGTACGTGTGCAAACAGGTGCAACACTGATTGTCTTCAGCATAGGTGCAGGAATACACGGCAATAAACAACTCCATATCAACCACCATCTTCTTTGTTTACTTACATGTTCTCAAGCTGTGAATTGTACTTGAAAATGTCCTCCGGCATATCACTGATAAACAGTGATATTTTCCTGCAAGAATTTAATAATAATAATAATATAAACAGATCGCATATTCAAACTCGGATGTTGAGCCAAAGTAATCATGGATAAGAAGAAAGGACTAACTGTCCACCAACGTAACCATATCATACACAGTCAGTGAGTGTGACAAAATGGCACAAAACTGACAGGGAGTACTGAGACATTCAACGACCTGACACCCAGCTCCAATGCTTCTCCGAGACGCAAACCAACAACCGTCCAGCTTGGAAGGCTCAGGTCCGGAAAGGTCCAAGAGGGGAAGGAAAGCGCAACGAAGAAGAGCACGAGCACACACACACACACACACACGCGCGCGCGCGCGCGCGCGCGCCCGCACGCACGCCTGTCGGATCTAGCTCGACTGTGATGTTTCCAATAAACACGGGTTAAAGTGGAATTAGAAACCAGTTGTTGTGCGTCAGCCAGCTAACTTGGATTGCGACTTTATTGGTCGTCAACCTGGGTAGCTACTAGACTGATCGTTCTTTATGACAAACGCGGCCACGACACATACACAAATACACACACACACACACACATACATACAAACATAAAATGTGCTGTATTTGCACAGTGTCGTCCATACATGTCTGCAAGACGGAATGCGATACAAGCTTACAGTGATCTGAGGCTAGAATAGCAGCGGAAAGTGTCAACGTTCAGCTTGGTTATTGTGTAGCCCTCAAACGTTCTGCAATAAAAACACACACACAGACGCACACACACACACACATTATAGGAATATACAAATGAACACACACACACACACACACATATACAGGCGCACACGCACGCACGCATGCACCCCCCCCCCCCCCCTCCCCCCCCCCCCCCCCCCACACACACACGCACACGTGCATGCGCATGCACACACACACACACACACACACACACACACACACACACACACACACACACACACACAGGATTCACTGGCTAGAAAAAGCTACTGCAATCAGGTGTGTGGTGTAGACCAGGCTAGTCTTTATTAGTGGAAGTCAATTTATCAGCTGTCACAAGCCGCTGTATGGTGTAATCCCAGCACAAGTTGCTATGCTTAGCACAGCTTGTTGGCTATCATGGCTTCAGCAATAGGCATGTGTAAATGTGTGCAAGTCAGTAAGTAAGACACACACGGGGTATTCTGCACTTACAGTGCTTGCATTGTGTGCTTTGCGACGGAGCTGATGTCATTCACAATGGGCAGGCCTCCATCGAGGGACGGTTTGAAAGATTGTGCGCAAAGAACTCCATCTGCACTCTGGGTGCAAGTCTGAGAATTGCCTGCATCCAAAACGAAAACAGCAATAAGACATCACACAAGAATTGCATAAAGCTTGGTGTGTTTTGTGCCGTTAGAGCACTCCCTGACGTTGATGTTGGAGCCGCTATATAAATGTATTGTTGTTGGGCAGTTTACATGGCGATATCGGTTCAGCCAGTCGCTCTGAGTTCCGCTGAGGAAACCCAACAAGGTCAGAACAGTTAGCTGTTCACAGATTGAGTATTCGGTATGTACGGTATGGAGGCTGATGCCATGTTCTACCAAAACTTGTGTCCGAGTCTCCAAATTCACACACATTAGCTCCAGATGTATACGATAGGCCATCTTTACATCCGTAACTCGGCTGCATAGCCACTGTGCCCTTTGGCTGCCCTCTAATGATACCACGCAGGCCAGGCAGGCATAGTGGGATGGTCTAAGACCATGATTGAGAAACAGAGGGTACCAGGTTCAAGTCCTGCTTGGAAGCGGAAGGATTTTTTCCAGCCGTGCTGCGACCCACAGTTAATTGGAAACTCGTGGCCTGGCACGAGGGAAACATGGATGCAGTGAATGGGATTTCGGTCTTTGACCACTTTGTGGTGGGTCTGATCTACTCACCTCCCACCGTTTTGGAGCTGCATCTGCGCCTTGATCCAAGAGGGTGGTGGCGTTCCTGCGGATGCGGAAAACTGGGCCTTTGGCCGAGTCTCACGCGAACCGTGAATTTTTTTTTTTTTTTTTAATGATACCACTCTTGCACGAGATTAAGTCAAGAATATGAAGACTGATTACTGTTGACGGCATAGAATTTTATACAATGATTTCCCCAAACCAGTTGGTTTGCGATAATATATTTGTGTGCATCACTGCAGCCCCGTACATACACCTACTGTTGAAGGTTGCTATCATGCTGGCTAGTATTGGCATTATGCTTTCCTCTCAAAATCGCAAACACTGACACTTCAAACAGTATTTTCCCTAGTCCCATTCCACTTCCCTTTCGTCTCACCCACACTTCCAGGAAACTCCCCCGATAAGTCTCCATTTACTTTTGGAGAATTTGGGAAAAAAATGAAAAAACCTCGGGCAGTTTATACTTGCTAGTGCCAAGCCATGCAGTGATCATACTTACGCACGCACTGTCCTGCAATCAGCACCCATGGCCAATGACAGCTAGAAGATGGAGCAGATGTATCGGAGCACCAGGCGGGAAGAGGAACTAAGAGAATCAAACACACGCACACGCGCCCACACACACACAAACGCATGCACAAGTACAAATGCACCCACACACATACACATGCACACACAAAATAAGTCACGATAGATCAGCGGTTTCTTCATCTCTTAGTCTCCTCTTCCAGCAAAATCTTTACAATTGGCGAGTTGGTGTCCAGAGAATTTACACCAAATGCATATACTCAATCTGCGCCAAATGCATAATATATTATACCGTATTTCACTGAATATAAGTCACACCTTTAAGGCTTTTTACACGTAACTTCTCGGTCAAAGAAGGGGATGCGACTTAAAATCGAGCGCAACGTGCTACTGATGTGAGTACATTGAAGCGATATGGCACAAACCCGAAAGTGGGGGTGCGACTTATAATCGGGGAAGTACTGTGGATGGTATTCTATGATACTAGCATAATTATAGCTCTGGCACACAAAAGCACACATTAACCCTTTACCGTTTGTACGTACAAATTTCGACCGCTCGTGGTCGATGACTTCTATGCGCACAGCGCTGGACTGGTTCACCGCAGAGAGCTGGGATTTTCCCTACTGGTAGCCAAGATGTACGCGCAGAGGGTGTCGACAATTTTTTTGTGTGATGCAATATAAAAAATCGCGAAAATCGCGACTTGAAAAATGCGCTTTGGGAAAAGTGCGTACCCTGCGACTCTTGGTATTGCCTGCAGATTATTTCGACTTTTGCTCGAGCTGGCCTCACGACTGTCTGCCCTGCTGTGCAAGCCATGGACTCGGAGCAAGCTCTTTCGCTTCTGGAGACCCTTCCTGACGACTCTGTCGCTGCCTCATCCAGCGAAGATGAGTTTGTGGAGCCAGACAATCCTGTTGAAAATATTTATTCTGACGACGACCGCGACGATGACATGGCGAGTGAAAGCAGCGCCAGTGAGAGTGACATGGATGTCACAGACGACGACAGTGTCGAAGAGATGAGTGCCACTAATGGTGGAAGAGGACGTGGCAGAGAGAGAGGATTCGGCCGTGGAATAGGCCGTCCTCACGGTAGAGGTCGTGGTGCACAGGTACTATGTACAGCCAGCGGTGCAACCTGCACTAGTCGATATTTGCAATACTTGGGACAATGCTGACACCGCTGTGACTGGTAACACTCCTGCATTCCACCCAGAGAACGAAGCTGGTATCCACTTACCTGAGGGAGCCACTCCAGTGCAAGGATCTGATTTATTGCATATTGCAACAGTTTGCCCGATCGGCAATAAATTCAAATAATTATTAGTGCTAAATAGTGAAATCTCTGTTCCATTTCTGGACTTGAAAGTTCATGCATCGCATTCCTGAGGGTTTTTACTTTCAGAATCACCCCATTTTGTACATCATAAAAGTGAAAAATAAAAAAGTTACGGCATGAACGATGACGGTCGGTTTTTGCTGTACAAATACCTAAAACGGTAAAGGGTTAAAGGGGAAGTGCATCGATTTTTCGAGTAGGGTCCAGAAGAAAGACAATTTGATATCGGTTCGCATGGCATATCTCTCGCTTCCATACGATAAGCCAAACTTGCCAAATCGCCAATTGTATACTCACGTTGCCATTGCGACCAGCGCAGTGATGACATACGAAAGGCTTAGCTCCACCACAGACGTCGATTCACTGCAGAAATTGGTCATTTTCAATTGGTTTATTGTATTCACGAAGTGAAAGAAGGGCTGTGTTCAATGCTGTTAGTGCAGTGAACTGTTTATTAGTAGTCCTCTCGGTTGCGTACTGGGACGTGACACCGACAGGAGAAAGCTGGAGTGCGAAAACATCAGCAGACAAGCGGAAATAGTGACGAACAAAATGCTGAAATCTTGGTTGGGACGAATCAGACGTTCAGCATTTCCCCCAACCAAGCTCCATGCCGTTTGCTCTTTCCACTTCCTGAAGATGGATGTGATGCTTCCTGGCGACTCTCCTATCTCTCGTAACATCTTCTGAAGCCAGGTGAGACGACGGGTGGTGGAGATTGACGAATGAAATAATGTCGTAGGTTTGAAAGTTTGCTGAAAATGTCTCAGGAGAGATGGCGAATACCAAGCATCTTCTCCTAGAGGGACCATTTCCCAGGCACAGTCAGCAAAGGGAAATGTAGGAGAAGGCCGATAAACAGTTCACGGCACTAACAGCATTGAACACAGCGCTTCTTTCACATCGTGGATACAATAAGACAATTGAAAATGACCAATTTCTGCAGTGATCGACCATCTCTGTGATGGAGCTAAGCCTTTCGTACGTCATCACTGCGCTGGTCGCTATGGCAACGTGAGTATACAATTGGCGATTTGGCAAGTTTGGCTTATCGTATGGAAGCGAGAGATATGCCATTCGAACCGATATCAAATTGCCTTTCTTCTGAACCCTACTCGAAAAATCGATGCACTTCCCCTTTAATCACTACACACGTCCAGATGAATGGAATATGAGGTGAAACGAGGACTTGAAGTTCTTGCGAGGTATTAGGAGACCCACGAGTACACGGCTATGTATCGGAAGTGTGTGCTCCATCATAGTGAGGCATTTCGAGTGCTTACCGGTTGTCGGGGCAAGAGCTGAAGCGTTGTTCGCTACCAGCATGGCTGTTAGCAATATGTGACATGCTTGTAGACAGCGAGTGGTCACTGTTGTCTTGGTCGCCATGGTGCTAGTCCTCCAGACCCTAAGAATGAAGAAATCCACAAACACAGTCAGAACAGAGCTTGATTATTCCTGTAGGGCGCGAATATTCTGACTTCCCACAATTCACTACATAGCCATTCACACAGGCGCTTCATGTAGCCTCCCGGCGTTTAGTCAAACTGACCACAGTGTCATAGAATGCTTGCCACCTTGTAAGCTGAGGACTTGAGAACTACGACTGACGCATCAAGCCTCTGTGTGGATGGTATGCCATACTTTTTACACTAAGTAGAATGTAGCAGACACCTGTCATCTACACTACCGGGAGTACTTAAAGCCCAATAGTGTGCAAATGCCTGCACAACCACTATCCAGTGCTGCGACGGTATGTGTAAGCTGCAGCTTCTTAGGAACAGCAGACACAGCAGTGGAAATCACACAAGTGCAAATCACACAAGTGCACTGCTCTCCCCGCACCCCCCCCCCCAATCCCCCGAAGAGGTTGCAAAATATTTTGTTTTTCGCCCCAGTGTAGATCTACAATGCACCAGTGAGACAAAAGTCCACCAGTACTCCTCACAGCCTTTTGTAGAATTCGGGTGAACTACATGACGCGTCGACGCTGGGACGATTACGTTTCCGAGGAATTTCAAACATACCCACAGAACTTACCGATGGAAGTGCTTCTTGTCGTCATCAATTCTCGCTGCTTTCGGGCATCATGCTGCTTCTTCTGGCGCTCTTGGCTTCCGTTGTATCAGCAACTACGCACGCGGCTTTGCACCCATCTGTATCTTTCGGTAGGAAAGTAGACTACCAACTGGAAGACTTTCTTGTCCTCAGCAAAACCAGAAATTGGCTGCAGCCATCGAGTTCCTTGCAGGTCACCGAGTAAGTTCACGGTAATCCTACTCCGAAAGAGATCCAAACGAGCGCTTCACAACCTTGATGCGAATGGCAAACAGCAGCTGACTCGAGAAGTAATCCAACGGAACCAAACTCTGCAAGGTGACAAGCATCCAATGGCGCTAGATCTACTTCAGCACGAAACGAAACAAACACAAAAATATTAATTTGGGGTGCTGATAGTGATACAGTACACTGACTCAGAAGCAGGCCGGCCTGAGCTGTGTGAGTCTGAGTCAGAGATCATGAGAGTCCGACTGAGAAAATGAGATCTGATCAGGAAAGGACAGGCAGTCTATGCAGTGCTAGTGGAGAACGGGAGTCGTAAACATATCCCTGGACCCGCAATCAGAGTGCTAATGAGTGATGGCAGCCCATATATGTATGGACTTGTACTTGTCTTTAGTTTATTGTGTGGATCACCAATCCACTATGATCACGGAACTGGTAGATCTACCATGCCATGGTGTAGATCTACATGCATTGTGCAGTGCAGTGCGAAAGAGGGAGAGTGTGCTTGTTTTGGCTGATTGGCCTGAGAGAGTTCAAAGGTCAAACTGTATACCCCAAGTACAAGTGACGTCGTCCCCCGGGCGCTACATTCGGCCCACGGCCACAAACACCAAGCAATTTTTTTTTATTTTTTTTTTTACTGAATACCACAGTACCATCAGATGCTGCACAGCGGGGGCGGTGGCATATTGGATGGAAGTGGGGGCGGGGCAAAAGTAACTCCTCCGACCAAAGGTCTCGGAATCGTTGTTACTCCTGTGCGCCGATACATAGGAGAAAAGAAACATGTGCATCCAAGAGGGGAGCACTGGCTTTGCAAACGATAATGGGGAGAATTTGAGATTGGGATAGGACAAAACAATAGTAAAAGCAGTGCACCGTAGGAAGATGGAGCGAACTGATAATCGGGTTTTAAGGCTGAGCGAAGGGGATCAAAGAGGGGTAATCCATTTTCTCCCGTGCTTTTCTATGTCCCCTTTCTATGTGAGTGTCCTGAACTCCAACACCGCGCGTAGATCTACCGTGATCCCATCTACCGGCGCGGCGCCGACTCTGCATCTGTATAGTAGCCCGATCCAACAACTTCCCGCAAGTAAAGGTGTGGAAATACGACAGTAGGGAGGAGCCGGAGCTCAGGTGTCTGGGTTAGAGTCTACGGCTTCGCGTGTTTTGGCTCCAGATTTCTACGCGGAGATATATGAGGTTCTCTACGTTGTGGCACACACAGAGAAAATTCGTACGGATTTGCTGGGTATCGATCAACTGCATGCAGAAAACTGCCAAATATGGAAGGGGAAATTCCCAGTACACATTCCACGTGACTTCTCTAGGTGAAACGTAGAGCAGAACAGCATTTCTTTACGTTACGGGAACGCGAAGAAAGTTCGCGTGATTCTTTGCGTCGCGTTCCCAACACGTAGAGCAGAACCTCCCTAATGTTATGTTTAGTCACACGGAACAAACAAAAGCATGAAGCGAAAGGCTCAAACCGGGTGAAAGACGAAGCTACCCGGGCCAAAGAAGCTCATCGAATATTTTGATTTCGTGCTTCGGAAATTTCTTCAGCTGAGCACCCGTACCCTCACAGCTCGCACAATGCGCTCCATTCTGATTTTCACCCACGTTCTGGCGGAACGTGGGTGAGCCTCCGTACCCGTATGTCGTGAATCAGAAAACGTCTGTATGGTATGGTATGGTATTGATTTATTTGAATTCGGTATCTCAACAGTACATTGTACAACTTGGGAAGATCCGAATGACATAGATACATAAACATAAAAGTGGAGTAGGTGCTACAGCGGATCATTTTATCGCAGATTGTGGGACTAAACTAATACCAGTATGCAAGTACACAAGAAATAAAAGCTGAATAAATACGACTGCATGACATTGGAGAAAAGCACCAATTAGAGCAAAACAAAGCGACACATCACTCATCGAAAACATTTTCAAAAAGGAGCTGTTTTAACCGGGTACATTGTGGCCCGTCATTAAGAAGGCAGGCAAGATGGGCGTTAAATGCAGAAGACGTATTGCAAGACTTCATTTCGAAGGGCAGAGCATTCCAAAGTAAAGCAATCCTACTAGACAATGAGCGATACCCGCATGCAGTCTTATATCGGCATAACGAAAGATTATTTGCAGAAGAGCCGCGAGTGGTGTAAGCAGGTGTACTGTGCCTACAAAATAGAGAATCTAAACTGGCAACCGGGTGAGCTACTTTACACTGAAAGATAAATTTAATGAAGAACTGTAAGAAACGGTGGTCCAGAGGACATAGCTTAAGAGAGCGGTAAAGGGGGTCCACGTCAGCACAGTAATGGGCACCACAGGCAGCTCGGATCGCACGACGGTGAACAGCAAATAGGCGCCCACGGTCTTTTGCAGATAAGCAGGGTAAGAACGATTGAAATGCAAATTCTAGATCAGATTGAATTACGCATAGCACATAAAGGCGACAAGCGCACGGGGACAGTTGACGAAAAGAACGCCGTAGAGCACCAATTTTGCGTGACACCTTGGCAACAAGCTTATCACAATGAGGTGTGAACAAGAGCTTGTTGTCAATTACAACCCCCAGACAGCGAGCACTGGACACTTCTGTCAGCACTTTACCATCGATACAGATAGTGGGCGTGGGACAGACCGGCGAGCGCTTGGGAGCGATGAACATTACAACAGTCTTATTCTCATTGATAGTCAGGCCAAGTTGCTGAAGATCAGTAGCGAGTGCTGATAACGTGTGGGAAACTAAATCTGCAGCCTCCTTTGCCGTCGGACAGGATGCGTACACCGTTTTGTCGTCCGCAAAAGCGAGCAATTTCGTCCCGGATGTGTCAGCAGTTGCAGGAAGGCGGCGAACATAGATGTTAAACAGAGTTGGGCCCAAGACACTGCCTTGCGGGACCCCACGAGTGACAGGTAGAAATGGAGAGACCTCACCGCACCTGAGGACCCGCTGGGCTCTGCCAGAAAGGTAGGATTTAAACCATGAGAGTGCTGATCCGCTGATACCAATCTCGTGCAAAGCCAAGAGTAGCTGCTGATGCTGCACACGATCGAACGCTTTACTAAGGTCAACAAACGCGACAGCAGAGGTCAGGCTCTGGTCCCGAGCAAGACACCAGTCATTAATTGCCAAAGAGAGCAGTTGATGGACGGAGCGATTTGGGCGGAACCCAATTTGGTGATCATGTAGGAATGCAGTCGAGTCCAGGTGACAGAATAGTTGCGACATTACCACGGATTCCAACACTTTGGACAGGATCGACGTCAGCGAAACTGGGCGGTAGCTCGTTGCGTTGTAGACGTCGGTCTGAGCGGATTTTGGGATCGGGGTGATGTTGGCTCGCTTAAAGGCAGAAGGAAACACTCCACTGCTAAGAGACACGCTGAAGATTTGTGCCAAAGAAGGCGCCAAGGAGGACGCCATGGCCTTGAGGAAACCAGGCAGAAGGCCATCTGGACCCGGTGCCTTGCACGGTATAAGGGAGCGAAGAGCACGCTCTACCTCTGTAGTGCTGACCCGATCGAAAGAGGTCAATGCATCTTCAAGGACCGGTCCAGACGGCAGGTCGTACGTGCTTGTGGGGTCGTGGACTATAGCATGGAAGTGGTCATTCAGGTTAGGTGCAAGAATGGGAGACGACTTTGGTTTACGCTTTGTCACATAGTTGATTGTAGCCCATAAGCGACGCAGAGATTTTCTGTATTCGGCACAAATTCTCTGATAGTGCTGGTTCCGCAGACGACGATAGAGATTGTTACATTGGGTGCGAAGGCGCTGAAAGCTGTTGTAAAGCTTGGTGTCTGTGGAACCTCCCTTGCGCCACATGCAAAAGGCCGCTTTGCGCCTCCGAATTAGTGCTTGTAGCTCTGACGTAACAAAGGGGCACTTTCGACGAGGAGCATGTCGGTAATGCTTAGACGGTTTATATGGCGCTACCAAATCCAGCACTGAGTCAACTTTACTTGTCCATTCGTCAACCATACTATTCACGCTGGAAGAGAGAGAGAAAGTACAGAGGTTTGCGGACTCTAAGAGGGTCTCCAATTGCTTGATATCGGTGTTGGAAAAGTCCCGACTGGGCAGGCGCTGGTTGCAGTCAGTCGGGAAAGAGTAGGGGTCGGGGGTGGTCAAGGTTGCACATACCAAACAGTGATCGGAGTGCTCAAAGTCATGAACAATACCGCCTGAGACAGCATCTGTATTACTTAGAATGTAGTCAATGGACGATGACGACTTCGGACAAACACGAGTTGGGTCGTGAATACAGTTTAGAAAGTTAAAGGGCAAAAGAAAGTTGGTAAGGAGAGACGAGTAGAGCTGGGATGTCTGTACGTGGGTCACTGAGTATCACGTGGTACACACACGTAAAGTACCCACGGATTACGTGGGACTAAACCTCCCTATACTCGGCTATAGCCCTAGTGCTGACTGGAACAAACTCAGGGCGTTTTACCGCGGTCACGGCCGGCAGTCGATAATGTCAGACGATCCCACTCTGTATTGCGAGCGATTAACCTCGGCCATATTCTTCTTGCAGGAGATCCCCTCGACAGTCCCAAAGCCTTTGGGAAATCCTTTAATATATAATAAAATACACAAAAAATACAATCCTGCAAGGCATGGACCAGTACATCCCCACCAAAGTCGTCACCACTCGTTCCTCTGACCCTCACTGGTGGACTCCAGAGTGCACCATTGCAGAAGAGGCAAAGGAGAAGCAGTGGAAGAAGTGGAGGCAGAACCCGCACCGGGATGACCTCAAGACCTTCATTGCTTCTGTCAACCGAGCTGTTCACACACAGCAGAGCGTCCATGTGTCTAGCGTCAATCGACTGCGCCACACACTCAGCTGCCAGTCACTTAGTGATAAACAGTGGTGGACAAACCTGAAGAAAGCCACTGGCGCTACACGCAACTCCGCTGATGTTCCTTTGCTACTAAATTGCTAGTCGATAGCCATGGCAAGGAGTCCCACACCTCAGCAGAGAAGGCTGAGTGCCTGGCAAAGCATTTCTCCTCGAAATGCAGCTTGGGTGACCGAGAACTGACTATCAATGAACTTCCTGCGGTGACCACCCCGACCCACGAGCCATTAGAGCATGTTCATTTCCGAGAAGCTTCAGTCCGGCGGCATCTTGCAAGGCTAGTCCCATCCAAGGCATCTGGACCTGACAGCATTCCATCTCGGGT